GACGGGGAAACGGGGGAAGCGAGGGCGACGGTACGTCAACGGGGAGGACGATGTGAGGGGAATTGAGTTTGAACCGCGTCGTGGAATAATATGCGATTTGTGCTCGGCTAAGCTTGGGATGAGGATAGGAAGGAAGGGATGAGGCGGTAAGACGATGGGAGGTGGAGAAAAGACTGCGGGTGAAGAGACGGCGGCGGCATGGGATCCACGACGTGGAAGGCTAGGCATGAGATAGGGGCGGATCGGTGTGTAGCGCAACCGCGGTGTTTATCAACGGCGATAAGGCGATACGCCCTCGCGATGCTCACATGCCGATAAGCTACGACCTCAAAAGAAGTCGGGATCTCTAGATTGGCCGTATAGATAAGCCTGGAGTTCTAAATGGGCCGTAGGTTCGCTAGGAAGAAAGGTGAAAGTGCTCATGGCCTATGCCTTAGTGGCTATTTATTCTATGCTCTCTGCATGGTATAATCGTTTCGCATACTACGGGAATAGCACGACCTGAATTACCAAAGAAGCCCAAACTGTGCACATTTTGAGCTCTTGTTCCTTCAGGACGGTGTGGTTGGGACTCTCGCCAACCAAACCCTTTCTGCTCTACGACTCTGTTTTTTAGCGCGACGTTTTCTGGTAACCAGCCTGGCTCGGGAGGTCAACTGTGGGTTCGGTAGGCAAACTGTGCACAGTTTGCCTTCCTTTTTTTGTAATTCAGGTCTTGGGCTTTAAATACGTGAATGTTGATCGCGATGGAGATAAAAGCAGCCGATGTCGTATTGTATTGTCGTATGATCGTTCTAGCGCTTGTTGAGTTCTCAGTGCGTAGTAACGCCGCCTTTCGGAAACGTCCGGATTCCTGGAACTTTTGGAGGTCCTCCTTACTACTTGTAAGGACTCCTCAAAACAGGATCCGCCCGCCGCTTGACCCGAATTACAAAAAACGAAGGCAAACTGTGCTCAGTTTGCCTCCCGCAGAGTTTGGCCCGCCAGGCAACGGGGGTTCCCTCCGAGTCGGCTGGAAATAGCTTCTTAAAACCGGAGTCACAAGTTCCCCAAAGTTGCCTCAACCTTCCTACCTTTGGTTGGGTCACCAGGTCCAACCAAGCTTCCTACCTTTGGTTGGGGCACCAGGTCCAACCAACCTTCCTACCCTTGAAACCTATGGACCTCGGGTTTTAAGTCACTGAAACTTTAGAGACTCGTGACCATTTCACGACATGCGCGTGACCTCGTGACACCTTCACGATCTTCTAACCGAAGTTCAACCCGCGGAAACCGTTTGAGTATCGCTCCGAGCGTCGCGGCTCAGCTGGAATGGCGGCCTCGGAGGCCCGGGAGCCCCCGGGACCGCCAGAATCGGCAGTGAGCTTGGCGGATATCGTGCGAGCTGACGGGCATCTGTGGCTGAAATACGGGCAGAAGAAAATACTTAACACCTCCATCATACGGTATGCTTTTGAACGTCTTTTTGGCTGCATGGTTTGGCATGTGAAAAGCATGATCTGCACGATAGCTAGTAGTGGTGGTGTGTGATGACCATAATGTGGAATTTGCACGCAACCATCTCTTAGCTGTATAATGCAATCATTCTCTTTGACCTGACAGTGCGATTTTCCAAATCCCATGGCTGCTGCAGGTGCTACTACAAATGCTATTCCTCCAAGAACAAGGGCCCCTGCAGAGCGAAGAAGACTGTAGACTACGACCGCCACCTCCCCGTCTCATCTTCCACAATCCAAACCAACTACACCAACCGCACTCACAACCACTCTACTCCTCTGAATCTTTTCGATTCTATCGCCCAGGACTCCTGTCGTCCCAACGTTGCAGACTCATGCTCCATCGCCCAGGGATGCTCCCCCAACTCTGCGAAATCGACCTCCTGTAACCCTAATGCCGTGGTTACCACCAACACCTCGCTCACTTCCCCTCCCACCGCTAGAAACGGCCCTGAACAGTCCGCAATTGCAACGAGCGACATCTCCAGGGGGGAAATCCCCGTTCAAGTTGAACCTATCAGAGTCGGAAACGATAATGTGTCTTCCTCATTTGAAGCCGGCCCCGTTCAGTCCGACTTGCTGTCAAATGCTGCTGAAGCGGGGATTGCAACGACGCTCTTTCCACAAAGCGCCGCTGTCACTGGCAGTGGAGAGTCGGCTGCTCTTGCACCGATGCCCACGGTCTCGCTGTCTTTTCCACTCAGCTCCTGCGAATCTCTGGCGACTGAATGTGGGACTCTCAGCGACTTCTTTGACGACGATGCCTTACTGGATGGACGCTGGCCTTGTGCCGCAAAGAGGGTCCGTCTGACACCCTTTAGCGAGGCAACCTCTATCGAGGACGTGAGCAACTCAGCAGGCCACTACTACTGCTCCCCCAGCAGTAGCTTTTTCGAGGCAGCGTCCGTCGATCTGGATCAGGTGTTTGGCCGTGAACCGGGCATCCCTCCCACGCCTGATGCTGCTGTGGGTAGTGATTTCTTTGACATTTCATTCGAGGATGGCCTTGCAGCGGTGAGGGCAGGAGAAGGAAGAGTACGAGAGCTGGTGTCTGCAGATCTCTCTTTGAAGGATTTCTTGCCTGAGGAGCCACCTTGGCTGGAAGCCATGCATATGAGTCCGTCGTGGGGAGAAGCTGCCTGCTTACATGTCAGTTCTTTTGATGGTAACCACGATCCGCACCCGATTCGCTCCAAGCGTTGTGCTTCAGCCTTGCTGATTGGTAGCACCGAGACAGGAGATTTTGATGGGAACACCCCTGGGCATGCTTGTGTGCCCAGGCCCATGCCTACATCAGGTAGTGTGCATAGCGTGTTCAGCTTCCTGGGTGGGGGTGACACTTTGAATGTTGTTGACTTGGTGTAGGTGGAACAGAACACACTGATCGCAAAAAAATATAATATGAGCTGTTGCTGATTGATGAAAGGGCCTCTCATAAGTGCGGACCCTGGAAATAAGGGGCTCATTGATTTGCATGATGAGTGGATGCTCCATTGTTTGAAGCACCTTGTGCATAGTTCACATATTTTTGTGGCCTAGTTGTAAGAGTTGTTTAAAACATTGAGAGTTCTGAATAATCTAGAAAGTTCTTGAAGTTCTTTTGCCTTACTGCTAGGATTGACGTTTTAGTGTGGGCACTCGTAACGGTATTGAAGCCAATCATAATCAAATCCCCGACCCTCGAAACAAACCCGGGGCTTTTGCGATGACAAAAATGCACCGACTATTACCTAAACCCCATCAGCGCGTATAGTCCGACTATTACCTAAACCCAAGTCAGTAGCGCGTATAGTCCGACTATTACCGTATTGGAGGCGCCCCACACTGTTTGACCAAAGCCCTCAGACTTAGGTCAGACTGGCAGAGAAGAAGCAAGCACCCTTTAAAAAAAGTAACGGAGAAAGACGACAGAGAAATCTCAACCGAGCAGTCCGCATGCCCACTCAGCACGATCGTGTCGATGTGTACATGTCATAGCCAATGACAACCTTCTGACGTGGTTCATTCCGATTAGGTTTAGTCCAAGCGTTATCGCAACACGCATCTGCTTCACTCTACAGAGCGCAAAGCTCTCATCCCAAGAGACATGCACTTCGTCACCAGTGGTATTGTCAAGCGTGTGTAGTACTTTTCAGATGTAGCTCCCTCTGCGGCATGCACAGCTACAAGTTCCTCCTCTCCTCCTCCCCACACCCACCCTCCCCCCCATCCTCCCCGCCTCACCCTCCCCGCCCCCCCCTTCCCCCCCCCTCCCCCCCCCCCTCCCCCCACCCTCCTGCGCCAACCTTCTGGGGATGGCCCCCCCTTACGGGAAAGCTTCCCCTCTCCCCTTTCTGTGGATCTCGTTTGTTTGCTTCCCCGCACTTCAGTGGATCAGTGCGAGCTAAGCGGCGATCCTGGTGCTGCAAGTTGGAACTAGCGGTGGTAGTGCAGCCTGGATGAGCTGCTTCAAGCGAGGTAACTTCTGAGACGACTCAACAGTCTTTTCCCCGCACAGCAGTGGATCAGTGCGACCTAAGCGGCGATCCTCGTTCTGGAAGTTGGAACTTGTAGTAGTAGCGCAGCCTGGCAGGGCTGTTAGACTCTTTTGAGGCGAATCAGAACCACTAATAGTGCAGGCTGGATGAGCTGCTGCACTCTTGGAGAAAGAGCTGCTACAAGTTCCAACTTCCAGGAGGCTGGAGTTCCTGAACTTGAGGCTGGACTACAGGAGAAAGTGCTGCTACAAGGCGGACGAAACATCCCAAGGACTTTAAAGTGTCGTGTTCACAACACCTGAACATTTTTTTTTCTCGAGTCTCACCTCTCGCGCTTTCCCGACCATCCAGGCGCCGCCATTGCTCCTCGCCTCCTGAGTCTGTACTTGAAGTTAGTTAGGGCTCGGAAAAGCAGCTCGGTCAAAGAGCTTTCACATTGACAAGCGCAATGTCAGCTCAAGATTCGGAATCTCCTATGGATGCTGGAATGATGCAGGATATCGTTCGTGCTGACGGCTGAAATACGGTCAAAAGCATCTTTACAAGACCTACACCACTCGGTAAGTCTGGTTGTTTGAGTGGGAATGTTTACATCTACACCTAGTCACTGCTAGGTGTAGTATGCTTGAAAATCTGCTTCCATTCCGCACCAATTGGTGGTCACACTAGTTTACCACTATGCGTGAAACCAATTTAGTTACTAGTTGACATGAATAACACATGTCGTAATCGCGTGTGCAGATCCTACTTCAAGTGTTCCTGCTCCAAAAGCGCTGGTAGGTCCTCCTGCACAGCAAAGAAGACAGTAGAGTACGACCGCCGGAGAAAATACACTTTATCTACAATTCACATCAACTACAGTAGCCCCCACCACAACCACCCGCCTCCTTTGGAGAGACGCATATGCGAGGAGGAGCCGAACCTTTCCACCGCATTGCACCCCCGGGGTGTTGCTGAGGCGCCTGAGAAAGAGAGGATGGATCCACCCCAGGAGCAACATTATCATACCAATGCTTCTACTAGGAGTATGGTACTCCCTTCCGTCGGTGCTCACTCTACTGCTGAAGCTTTGGACAAGGAAGGCGGCGGCAGTGCTGCTGCATCTGGTGCTGTGAAGGCCGAACCTGATCCGTTTTCTGACCTGCATTCAGTGCAAGGTGATGCGCATGCCCTCCCAGAGCTCACTCCTCCTGCCACTACTACTGCAGCCGACTCCGCCAGTAGCGCTGCAGCAGCGGCTCCAGAGCAGGGAGTTGATTCCACTGCGGTTTCTAGAAGCAACATCCAGCTGTGCCTACTAGGCCCTGCGAACAATGGGGATGGGAATGGTGTCATGGAAGCAGCTCTCGCCGCCGCTGCCAACGGTTGTTCTTTGGAAGGTGGCTCTAGAGTGAAGCTGGAGAACTCGCCTTCTGATGAAGCACATAAGACGACTTGGCTCCCTATCAGACATGCTCTCCTCAACAGCAATGATACACCACCCTTGCCCAACGGGGGATTCTGTGATTGGAAAGATCATGGTTTGCTTGATGATGGCACACCGTATGCTAAAAGAGCGAGGCGCGCTGAAGAATCAGCACCTGCACGCTTTTATTCCAGCCCAACTGTTCTTGAAGCTGCTGGTACACATGTGACGGACCTGCATGGAGGTGCTGCTGGTGATGCTTTTCCAATCTGGCCTTTGAAAGTTTTTAAAGTCGAAGCTGCCGTTCTCATCTCTCCAAGTTTCGAGAATTATGACGATTTGTTATGGGGAGACGATGAAACTTTGGATGGACCTGTTGAAGTGCACAAATCTGCACTCGTTTCTTGCATTTTATAGTGCAGGCCTTTGCTGCTAGATGGTCAAGATGGGTACTTGGATGGCTGACGAACGTCTACTTGTCACTCTCCTCGTTGATATTTTATGTACTGTACATACCTTTAAATTGATCCCATGCTATCTCAGTCGCACCCGCTACGTTTGTGCCACTGTGCCCAGCCGCACCAGGCCCCTCGATATCAGGGTAAGCCATCTTGTTTCCCCAATTTCTAGGATAGTGTTAAGAGTTGCCCTGAAATTTCATGATGACAAAAAAATTGGCTTCAGGATGATTCTATCTGTTTTGCCCTGAAATTGTAGGGAGGCCGTGATATTGTGCTCTCTAAGTGCAGGTCGAATGTCGAGGAATACCCTGACGCATGGGAGGGGGAAGGGGGAGGGGAGGAGGGGGGGGGGGGGGGGGAGAGGAGGGGAGGGGGGAAGAGGAGGGGAGGGGGCGGGAGGGTTGTGTGCTAGTTTTGTTTTTTCCCGAAGATTTCGCGCAGCCAGTTGTAGTGAAACCACGTGATGGCAGGGCTGGTGTTGGCTGGCCTTGCTGCACGTGTCAAAACATTCATACGTTTATATGTTTCTAGGTGGTGTAGGGGTTATCCCTAGAGGGTACAACCCTTTTCCTCGACACTCTTGTACCCCCCTCACCTAATTGATCATCTTTCTCACTAGGATTCTAAGGGCGTGTTCCTACGGCCCCTTATCAGGCCACCTCTTATCACGCTCGCAAAAAATCACACTGGAATTCGCGCAAACCCTAAGCCCTTCGCACATTTTACCAGGCAAGTTTGATAAGAGGTGCCTGATAAGGGGCCGTAGGAACACGCCCTAACATGGTTTCAGAGACTAGGCCGTTCCTAGACCTTAGTACCTAGTTCTTAAAAGGGCCCACCATTAAAATTTCGCTTGCTAGTCCGTTCTGCCCTGCCCTGTCCGTCGCGCTGCCCGCTTGCTGCCTAGCGCGCGATTTGCGAGCTGCCTGCTGCAAGCGCACTGCCTACTGCAAGCGCGCTGCCTAGCTGCACGCGCACTGCCTGCTGTCTAGCGCATTGCCCGCCCGCGAGCCTGCACCCGTACCCGCGCGCTCTGCCTGCCCGCAAGCGCCCCTGCCCGTGAGCGCCACGGCGCCCCTGCCCACGAGCGCCACTGCGCCCCTGCCCGCGACCGCCACTGCGCCCCTGCCCGCGAGCGCCACTGCGCCCCTGCCCGCGAGCGCCACGGCGCCCCTGCCCGCGACCGCCACTGCGCCCCTGCCCGCGAGCGCCACTGCGCCCCTGCGCCCCTGCCCGTGAGCGCCACTGCGCCCCTGCCCGCGAGCGCCACGGCGCCCCTGCCCGCGACCGCCACTGCGCCCCTGCCCGCTTGCGCTGCCCACCAGCAGCCTGCGCCCTCACCTACGCGGCCCCTCCTGCTGCATGCGCTGCTGATGCTGCTGAGCGCGGCTGCTACTGCTGAACGTGCTGCTGCTGCAAGTGTTCCTGCTGCTGCGCCTGAGCTACTGCTGCCACACGCGCTGCTGCGGTGTGCCCTGCCGAGCCGCGCCGCCCAGCCTGTGCCGCGCTGCCCTGCCGAGCTGCGCCGCCTTGCCCGAGCCGCGCTGCCGTGCCCCTGTTGAGCCGCTATACCGTGCTGCTGCTACTGCTGCTACTGCTACTGCTACTGCTACTACTGCTGCTACTCCTGCTACTGCTCATATGGCTACTTTCTCAATTCTTAGCTTCGATGCGGAGGGTTGTGCGATTAGTTTTGACGTTTGGCTTGATGATCTCCAGCTGTACCTACAGAGCGAGTCTAGGGATGGCGTGTCCTTGTTCGCCCACACAGAGGGATCCCTCCTAGCCCCAGCTGACACAGCGCACGCAGATTATTCGAAGTGGCTCATGTGTGATGCCACTGCCCGCCTTGCTGTTCGCAACCACCTTCCAGTAGCAGAGAAGGTGCACTTTAGCCAGCAGAAGACGGCGAAAGCCCTCTATGACGCCGTTGTCGCTCGTTACTCCTCCCGCGCTACTGCTGCCCTAGGCCGTCTCATGCTGCCGTACCTCTTCCCTGAGCTTGCTGATTTCCACACTGTTTCTGACCTCATGACTCACCTTCGCTCTAGTGAGACTCGCTACCGCGCCGCTCTCAAGCCGACCTTCCTCGCTGCGAACCCCCCCCCCCCCCCCCCCCCCGCTGTATATCACCTTTTACTTCCCCGTCACTCGCCTCCCTGACTCCCCTCGCACTGTCAGGGACCACTTTCTTGCCCTCGACCCCACTAAGCTCACACTTGCCTCGCTGGAGAAGTCTCTTCTTGAGGCTGAGTCCAGTACCAATGCTGTCGCTTCCTCTCGCGGCACTCCCTGCTCCCCCTTCTTTGAAGGGTGTGCTCCCTCCCCTCTCCTCCCCTCAGTTGCTACTGCTGCTGCTGGCGACCTCCAAAGTGCTGAGAAATTTGGCGCTGCGTCTGCTCCTAGTGGGAGGCGCAACAACAGCAAGGGCAAAGGGGGTAAGGGTGGTGGGGGTGGCAACAGCGGTGGAGGTGGCGGGGGTGGTGGTGGCGGGGGTGGAGGCGGTGGGGGTGGCTCTGGGGGTGGAGGCAGTGGAGGTGGACGGGGTGGTGGAGGCAGCGGGGGTGGTGGAGGCGGCTGGGGTGGTGGAGGCAGCGGGGGCGGTGGAGGAGGTCGGGGTGGAGCTGGCAAGGGTGGAGGCCGTGGCGCTTCCGCACGTGGCGGTGGAGGCTTTGGGAGTGGCCAGCAGCTGCCGCGCCTCCCGGACAACCCCACCCCTCAACAGCTTCGTGAGTGGGTTGTCCAGCGTGGTTCTTCTGGGGGCTCTGGTCGCTTCCGGTACGTCAGGCGCACAGGGAAGCTGAAGGGTCAGACCTGCGGGAAGCCGCATACTGAGTATCGCTGCTTCAGCCGTCTTGATGATGCCTGGGTGGATGAGTACGGTGATGAGCTACCAGCCCCCAACTGGCTGAAACTGCAGGGGATGGGAGTAGATGTTTATGCTCTTGACTTTGTTCAGATCAACAAGGCTATCTATGCTATGTATGTGACTGAGCTTAGTGATGAGGGTGCGTGTTACTCGTGTGTCCCTGGTGATGCTGGTGTCGTTGCTACTGCTCTTGGTGCTAGTGAGTCTGCTGCAGCTCTAGGTGCTAGTGCGTCTACTGTCACAGGTGCTAGTCAGTCTGCTGCAGCTCTAGGTGCTAGTGCGTCTGCTGTCATAGGTGCCAGTGAGTCTGCTGCTAGTGAGTCTGCTCAGGCGCGTCTCGTTGCTTCTTTCGTGACTGCACCACACTCACACCACTAGCTGCACCTGTCCCAGTCTCACTGGCCGGCCCCTCTGGGGGCCCAGTAGTCGCACGAGCCTCCACTGTCCTCCCGTGTCCAGCAGTCCCCTCCGGTTCTCTGTCAGGTCTCCACCTCCCCTCGTTCTCGACGAACTTGGTGAGCAACGCCGCTCTTCAGGATGTCGGGGTTTAAACCTTTACTCCTGGAGGGCAGCGTGTGGCGATCTTTACTTGCTCCAGGATTGGCCGTCACCTTGCTACATTCACTAGACGGCCTGGGTCTAGTCTGTACACACTGACCACTGCGTCTGCACAGGTGGCTGAGTCAGGTCAGGTGGCTGAGTCGAGTCAGGTGTCTGCGTCAGGTCAGCTTGCAGCGTCTTGCTCGTGTCGGGTACTCTCTCACCAGACTCTCCTCTGGCACCACCGCCTCGGTCACCCCTCGCTGCCGCGTCTCCGCAGCATGCACTCCCGTCTCCTTGTCTCTGGGCTTCCCAGGTCCCTGCCCTCCCTCCCGCGCTCGCCTGCACCGCTGTGCCTTCCCTTCGAGGGGCGGCAGCGCGCCGCTCCTCACTCCTCCGAGTTTCCTCCGACCACTGCTCCTCTGCAGACTCTCCACATGGACGTGTGGGGCCCGGCCCCCGTCAGTGGAACGGACCAGGAGCGCTAATTCCTGCTGGTGGTTGACGACTACACACGCTACACCACTGTCTTCCCCTTGCGACGCAAGGCGGACGTCAGCGGTGTTTTGATCCCCTGGATCCGTGCTACTTGTCACCAGCTGCGCGAGCGGTTTCGTCAGGACTTGCCAGTCCTGCGTCTGCACTCTGACAGGGGCGGTGAGTTCTCTTCTGGCCTCCTTGAGGAGGTCTATCGAGACGAGGGCATCCGCCAGACGTTCACGCTTCCGGCCTCTCCTCAGCAGAATGGGATTGCTGAGCGTCGCATTGGCTTGATCATGGAGGTTGCTCGTACCTCCATGATCCATGCGGCTGCTCCCCATTTTGTGTGGCCGTTTGCGGTCCGATACGCTGCGCATCAGCTCAACCTCTGGCCCCGTGTCTCTGAGCCAGAGACTTCGCCCACACTCCGGTGGACGGGAAAGGTTGGCGATGCGTCGGTGTCTCGGGTCTGGGGCGCGCTCTCCCTTGTTTGCGATGCCAAAGCGAGCAAGCTCTCCTCTCGCACTCTCCGCTGCGTCTTCCTTGGCTTCCCCACCGACGCCCCGCCGTGGCAGTTCTACCACCCGCGCTCGCGTCAAGTCTTTTCCTCCCAGGACGTCACCTTTGACGAGTCTGTCTGTCTCTACAGGCTACACCCGCACGCGTCCCACCCGGTCCCCCTAGCGCCTCTCTTCCTGGTACCAGCCCCCCCCCCCGGTAGACCCCCTTCCCCCACAGGGTCCTGCTCCCTCAGGTGTGTCCCAGGTAGAACCACCCCCCTTGGTTGAGCCTTTGGAGATCTCTTCTGACTCCTCTGGCCGAGCTGAGGGGGGTGACCCTTACGACACGGCAGCCACTCGCCGCTCTCCACGCTTGGAGACCCCCCCTGGTTTTCCGCCTCGGCCGTCTTCGCCACCTCCGCAGCCTGCTGCTGTGGACTCTGGAGCTGAGACTGCTGGTGCTGAGCCCGGGGGTGCTGAGACAGAGGGTGCGGGTTCTGGGGGTTCTGCGACTGGGGGTGCTGGTTCTGGGGGTGCTGACTCTGGGGGTGCTGCGAGTCCTAGTGGCGGTGGAGCTGTGGGTGACCCTGCTGGTCCTGGAGCTGGACACCCACAGCAGCCTGATCTACTTGAGACGCTCTCGCCGCAGGCGATTCGTGCGTGGATCGTTCGGCGAGGTAGTCCTGGTGGTGGAGGGTTCGGTCCTGCTGGTGCTAGAGCTGCTGGTGCTGGAGGTACTGGAGGTGCTGGAGGTGCTGGAGCTACTGGTGCTGGAGGTGATGGTGGTGCTGGAGGTGCTGGAGCTGCTAGTGCTGGAGGTACTGCTGGAGGTGCTGGAGGTGCTGGAGCTGCTAGTGCTGGAGGTGCTGCTGGTGCTGGAGGTACTACTGGAGGTACTGGAGCTGCTAGTGCTGGAGGTGCTGGATCTGCTGGTGCTGGAGGTACTGGAGTTGCTGCTGCTGGACCTGCTGGTGCGCTTCGCCACCTTCTCGGTCTTCCGCCAGCTCCTACTGAGTTCCCAGT